TATCACATGAGGAGTTTCACGGGTAGTTTTTTATTGGATGTATTTTATATTATTATTAGCACGTGAAGTTTTTTTAATTTAGAGTTGTAGCACGTGTAAATATTTAACAGGGTAATCAGATCACGCGATTTATATCACGGGGATATTTTTATGTAAATTCGTTTGTTACATGCATTATTTATTTGCGCAATGTATTAAATATTTTTGTATTGCGCGTAACTGGTATCACGTGGGGTAGTTATTGCTGTATTACTGTACATCTCATCACTCTTTAACATCAACATACACTTAAGGTGTATTATTAGACGTCATTTACATTTGATCAATCATGGCAGATCGATACAAGCAGTCATTCGAAGATGCTGTTGCCGCATATCCAGACAGTAAAAAGCAGAAGGTTCAGACAGATAACAATCTTGTATGGAAAGAGATAAAGGCTGGTCGCAAAGACAACCTAACCGAGCTTAAGCAACTCAAAGATCTAGGAACTCGAGCCAAATCCAATCTGATGAGCTTCTTGGCACCGTCTAGAAAACGTAAGCCTGAAACAGCAGCAAAAGTTGGACACGTGAGGTTTACCAAGGAAGAACCAGCAACTCTTTACTTTCGTTCAGACGTCCTACACTGGGGGAAGATCTAGGAATATGGATGCGTCGACGATGGCGTTTGGAATGGAGAGGAGGAATGTTCGAACTGCATTGTGTTCTCCTGAAGATACTTCAGCTGTCGCCCACACACGAGGCCGCACAGTCCTTCGACCAGCTGATCAACAATACTTGCTCCCTATAAACATAACAGACGTGTTTCAGTTAAATAGTCGTCCTCAATCCTCATTGTAGGTTATTGGCATAAAGTTTTGCTGTCCAGAACTCAAATTGAGCTTCCGTCATATGGATCATGCTTCAGTTGAAGTGTTGTTAATCATATTTTGTTTCGTTGAAAAAACTGTTCTAAGTTTTTAATGTCTCTGTTTATAACAGATATTTGTGTAGTCAGTAACATATTATTATATCAAAAAATTTTTTTAGAATCATCGCTCTGTGCTATTATTTAGTTTTACTTACTAGCCAAACTTATGTTAAATCATTTATAATTATCTTTATATTCTACAATTTAATTACTTCACACCAGGAAAGAACACTCAAAGATCATTATCCAGCCGTGGCCCAAGCAAAGCCAACATAAGGTAATAAGTTGATAAGTTTATCAAATTCAGGCGAATCATATTGGCATATTGGGCATTGGCCTTGTCAATGAGTGTACGGATCAGGCAATCCAGTCCCCTTTTGAAGGGACTCTTACTGCTTACTGAAACGTTTAACGTGACGGATCTGGCAGCAGCAGTCCTGAAAAGGATAGAAGAGGTGAAGAAGAAGACAGGAAAAGAGGAGGACAACGTCAAACGTGACAGGACAATCTCGGGATGCAGATCTTCCGGTGGTAGATCTAGACTAGCTGATTATTTGGAAATGGTTCTTTGTAAATAAGTTTAAAGTTTTTCGTAAATAAGTTATTGTTATAACTACCAAATTACTAAAACATTAATATTCGCTGCAATAAATATAATAGGTAAAGTGACATGTAGAATAATCGGAAGGAGACGAGACAATTTACCGAAAGAGCGGTTATAAGTACAAGATTAAGAAAGACGTAAGATTCTACAGACTCATGTTGGACGAAAACTAAGGATTATATTCAAGCAGCAAGGATTTCGAATTTATCAGCTTTACGAGACAAGCATCACCTTGCAATAATTAGACATAAAGTGACTTGATCTACCAGCTTGTAGACGCTTTGAACCACGAACATGAGTTCAAACTTCAAATTGCAAATCTTATACCAGTTTTTACCCTATTTTTGCTCATTTATTTGTTTCCTGAATAATAAGTACAATTATGATAATATGCTCTGACGAGAAATTTTGCTAACAATTTTATACTTATATAATTAGTGTTTACCTATTTTATGATAAATAGTATTTTAACGACAATTTTAATAACGGCTTATCGTTACAGTTATGTCTGATTGGCAGACAGACAATAGTCTTCACAAATACCTAGAGGATCTAGTGAATGAAAGTTACACAACGGGAGAGATCAGAGGCAGAATGAAAAAGGACTACGATCAATATCCAAGTTCATTAAGAACAATTGAGAGGTATCTAATCTCTATGTTAATACATCTGCTGTGTTGTTAGTTCGTCTCAAAGTTAAAATACCATTAGATTTAAAACTTTTCATCTTCCAAATGTAATGTTCGCCGTTCGGGAGAAAAATACTTTTAACACTTTCATGAAATAAATAAATAATCTGAGAACATGAATTTAATGTAGCTACAATGAAACGTTAAACAGTTTCCTTTAATCGCATGTTTAGAATTATCAGAAATCTTTAACTCTTAACTTTCAGAATGCTAGAGTTCTTTCACATAAAAAGAACAGACAGCAGTTTGTCTGACCAAGAAGTAACCCAAGCTGTCACAGAGATTGTAGCAGACACAGGTGGAGCCTGGGGTTACAGGCATGTGAGACAGGAATTAAGGTGAGACGATTATCTCAAAATATTCTGTGACGTTTATATCGGATCTAATAAGTAACAGTAGTAATAGTAATAGTATCCTTCTAAAGAAGTTAGTACGTTCTCAAAGGTTCCAGATGTGTTACCGATTTGTTTATTAGATGCAACAGGAGTATGCTTGTGACACAAGCTAAAGTGATGAGGACGTTAAGAGATGTGGATCGTGTTGGGGTGGAACAGAGGAAACCCAGATTTCTCGGCAAACGACCTAAAATGCCGTTTAGATCTAATGGCCCTAATTAACTTCTTTCGTGTGACGGCCACGATAAACTTGCAGGCTACCAGAATTCTTTATTTGATCTGAAGATATATGGGTGGGTGAATTTATCATATTTTACGATTCAAACGGGTGGGTTTAAACTCTATGTAGCATATCATAGCAGCAAAATGAAATGTAGCATAAAAACACGAGTGATAGTATTTTATAAAAGTAATACTCAATCTCAGATGTTTAGATACGTTTAGTCGCAAGATTTTGTATTTGTGGATCGGCCAAACAAACAGCGATCCAAGGGTAATTGGTCGTCTCTATTTGGATTACTTAATAGAGAGTAGACTGTTACCACGACGACTACGTCTTGACGCTGGTACAGAAACCGGGCACATGTGCGCTATAATACAGGTAATAAATGCTATTAATTACGCGAACCCCACGAGAACTGTTGAAACAGAGGTCGAATACAGACAAGATTTTGATGTGCCCAATAATTATATGGTGATTGTGAAGCTGATAGTATTTTTGTGGTGAGCTTTCAGTAAGCACCTGTTGACCTTCGGATATCAGAGGTCATGTAACCAGACTCTTTACTATGAATTGTGATTTAAAGTAGTTTAAAAGTTACTTGGTAAGAACTTTTGAGATGTTTATTTTCTCTGATCGGCTACCAAGTAAACAGTTATCTCAGGTAAAGACATTGCCATAGAAATTTTAAGACTACATGTACACGTCAGTATTCATTCCTTCCATCACGCAAGATGGATGTCCAAAGCTATCTATGTCTTAAAAATGTGCTTGTCGCAGAACCAGCTAACCAATATTCACCACACTAAACGGAAGAAGCTAACGAAATTGGGGATATTCATTGTTTTCGTGTACGTTAAACCTTGGTTTAGAGCTCACTCCGTTACATCTGCTGCTTCAAATGATCTTGAACTGTTCAGGTTTGTTAATAGAATTTCTTAAGATAAATATTTCGTTTTAAACTACTGAATTATAGCAGTTAAGATTTTAACGGATGAAGATTGTTACTTTAATTTTCAATCTTCATAGTTCATAGTTAAACAGAATATCTTGAATTTTTGATAATAATTGATGAAATTACCAGGAATCTGACCATCTACAAGAAGATTGACAAGAAGGTAGCAGATAGCTGCAACAAAGTATTTCAGAGACACACCAGGTACTTAACCGAAGAGAACATCTCCTTCTCCCTCTTTAATGAGAATCTGCCTATCTCAGTACGAGAGAAGCTGCAGCAATTGTGAAGACGACAAAAAATGAAGGAAGACTTGAAGTGAGGAAACCAGAGCTGCCTGAAGTAAAAGATTCCTCGACTCTAGCTGACTTCGCTGAACCTCGTTCTAGATTGCTCTTTGACCTTGTAGGACTAGGAGTCAGCACACAGTTTCTAGAGAAAGACGATTGGCACCTGACAGCGGGGTACAAGCAACTGAAGTCCTCTCTAATAAACCTCTCAGCTACTAATGACTCGGCAGAGAGGGCTATATCTTTAATGACTACCTATAATACTAGAATCGCTAGAAAAGAAAGCTGTTTCCAAGATCTTCTACAGGTGGTTCGGTGGCACCAAAAGCAATTTTCATTCCAGTCAAAGGAAAAATTAAGGGATTTTAAATAATTTAGTTTGTTAACAATCGAATTTGAATGTAGCTTTAGTATTTAATATGATTTTGATTCTATAAATCTATGATATCCTCGATTTTGGCATGTGACATGTAGAATAATCGGAAGGAGACGAGACAATTCACCGAAAGAGCGGTTATAAGTACAAGATTAAGAAAGACGTAAGATTCTACAGACTCATGTTGGACGAAGACTTAGGATTATATTTTAAGCAGCAAAGATTTCGAACCTGCAGCTTTACGAGACAAGCATCACCTTGCAATAATTAGACATAAAGTGGCTTGAACTACCAGCTTGTAGACGCTTTGAACCACGAACACGAGTTCAAACATACCAAAACATTTCATTCGGAATCAGCTAGTAGTCTTGCTGACATTTTTTTTCACCGCTTAGTTGACAACTGTAAACTGTAAAAGTAACAAGAACACTCAGTCCAGTGGCAGACCCAACAGTTTTAATCTTCATAATTTTGGGACGGCCTGCATTTGTTCATTTACATCACAACAGGATCAAGACTCGTGTTATTTTGAAATAGAAAAATTAACGGTTAGCGTATCCAGTTTTAAAGTTAAACATTTTCGAATTCAAATCAGTAAAATTCCAGAGCGCTTCAAGTATACACTATAAAGTATAAAATACAGAGCTATTGACATCTGATTACGTCTAAACTTTAGAGCGTACAAGCACTGGAGCAGGAGTTGCCAGCAATAACGTCACAGTCACTGTTCTCAGTGCAAGTCTTGTAGTCAGCTCCAATTCCTGGAAAAGTGTCTTAGCTCTTAACAAAACTTAGACCTTACGGACTCCTCGGTCTTTATATTTCATTTTTCTGGAAACCAGAAGCTTACATATTATTGATTATGATTATTGATTCGCCCAACATTTAAGGGGAGGGGGGGGGGGTCAGTAGACCTCGAGAGATTAATGGCACTTACCACTGTCAGAATCAGCCGCTAAATAGCACCATTCCTTGCAAGTAGTACAGCAACCTACAGGGCGATAACACTTAGATTGAGGTTCGTAGCCGTGGCAAATATGAAAGCAAATATAATGCGATTGTCATGTGAGGGGCGGTGTGACGTCACGTTTTCAAGTGTGAGACGCAACGCAAAAGGTACAGGGAAAACTATAGCTTAAACGTGAATCTAAAACATGATGGTTCTGAGGTTCTTGAGTTCACGTTGGTATGTTTCACCGAACCTACCTCGGGGGTGGATATCAGTTGATGCGCACCAGCCCATGCATTGGGAAGCGCAATATCCTTTATGACATCCATAGGAGCATGCGAAGAGTCCTTTATCATACTTTCCGTCGCACTTCTCTGGTGAGTGGCATTTCCATTGTCCCCAAACACATACGGCGTCTGAAGAGCGGCAGATATGTTTCTCTCTTTAAATTCTTGTTATAAATTTACTACTGTTCCTTCTCTTATCTCGTGATAATATGTTAGCGAGCATCATCTTTTTTCTTTTTGATTCTACAGTCTACAATAAAAATGAATAACTTTTTTAAAATTAATTAAGTAACTTGAAAAAAGTTTGCTCACCTGAATAACAAACGATAAGAGTCAAACAAAGGAGGGAAATTTTAAACATTATTTCAGCAACGGTGAATTATTCGAGTGATTACGATGAAAGTTGTGTTATGTTTTATGGTGGACTAGTCACCACTTTCTTGCTACTAAGATGAAATTATTCAATTATATTTCAAGTATAAACAGGTGTTTGAAAGTGCTAAAAGGATCAGAAATCCAAATTCGTAAATAATTCGATTTCAACTCTATAGTACTTTATTACCGTAATAGAATAATAAAATATCAAATGTAACCTTATTGAATTCAGCTATGATAAAATCCGTAAAATTCAATTTTTTAATAGCTTAATAAAATGACTGGTAGCACGAACGAGAGGCATCAAGTATTGACTCTGAACTTGCAAACGGAGTATTTAAAATTAAACGCACTTTAATTTGTCCACTCTGTTCTGTTACTTAGAGAGTCTAAAGCAATTTATAAAAACTTTATTACAAAGGATACAAACTTCAGAACAGTTTTTTACAACCTATCAGAGAAGTCAAGTACGTGTGCTTCTTTTTCTCCCGGTTGGGGGAAATAATGTAGAAAATTTGAGTCGTGATTCTGATATGAAATTAGTATTTGAAAATATTAATGATCTTAGTTAAAGAAGTCTTCCCCGTGGCTAACATACACTTTTTATCATTAATACCTAAGAAAGTAAGAAAACGACATATTTGACTCATACCCCCATATTAGGAATATGCACAAATTCAATTGCTTGAATTTTTTAGGACAGAAAGTATTAGGTTTGTTGATATCTTTTCTTTCTTTCTCAAAAAGCCGATTAATTAGTGATGTGATCCATCAGTAGAATTTAATTCACCAAGAAATAAGAAATGAATTATGGACTAGATATAGGGTAAAGTTCACTTGAGTGCGCCACCAACTCAGAAAAAAGGCACTGAGAGCATTCTTCTTTATTAAACGCATGGTGGATACCAGAGCACTGTCAACAATTCTACAACAATTTTGAAAATAGAAGGGTTACTAGGTCAATGAGAACTAACAATATCAATATTGAAGAATTTCTGAGTTAGATATACAGGGTAGATTTTTAACAATTATTGATAGTGGATATTTTTAATATTTGAAATTACGTGGATTCTAACGGTTTTATGATTGTAAGATCCAGGTTTATCCCATTTTTACAGGGTACCAGCTCAGGGGATACCAACTCTGGTCGCTGAACCGGGTAAGGAAAACACAGAACTTCTCATATCAGGAATTCTTCGAGTCGTGCGTAAACGGGCAGACTTGGACTATTTAGAGAATAACAAGATAATCACTAACACCCAAAACGGATTAAGATCAGGTAGGAGCTGCTTCACACAGCTCCTTGACCATAGGGAAAACATATTCAAAAATCTCCAGGACAATTATGAAGTTGATGTGATTTATCTAGACTACGCTAAAGCGTTTGACGAAGGCCAGTGCGAACTGAATGGAACAATCAACAGCCACAATGCGGTACACTGGCCTGTAGAAGTGCCCTATTCATTCTTCAAATATCACCAAATGGATTGGAATCTGCTCGCAACGCCTCTTCGGACCATACTTCTTCAAGCAAAATACTAGAATAGAAATGAAATCTTAAATTTCTATTTATTCCCTGAAATTGTTACTAAGTTCAAAATAAATTTATATGATAAAGTCTATCACTATAAGAATATATATGAAAGTCAGACCTGCTTCGCGAAAACTAACAGTTCTGAGTTCTGTGTGCTAACAGATCCTGACTGATACCAATTTACACTAACTAACTAATACTCTTAACTATCTAAAAACTAACTAGCTAGCGTGTGTGCTCGTAGCGCAGCTTAAATAATAAAAAATGAGCCACAGTTCATTCTGCATAAATATCCTCACAAAATACTGAATCGTAAAAAAACTCGTTAAAAACGGTTTATAGAATACAACGGCCACCACTTACACCAAATTAAAATACATACTATGTTAAAAAAAGCAGAATTATAGGCAGAAATGTTTAAAAAAGTGTAAGTACGTGTTATTTTGCTCCACAAATTAGGGGGAGAGGAGGGGGCTCAATTGCTATAGAGATTTAAATCTAGTTGAGTTAGTCTCCATTAAAGCTCAAGGATAAACGTTTTATTCAAACTGTCTAGGGATTTGATAATTTACCCGCAATTTTGACAATCTTACTTTCACCGTTGGTCCTGACCCAAAGATATAAGATGCGTAAGAATTAGAGATAAGGAAAGTCCTAGAGTTTTGAATTGAACACATTTTACTTCATTCAACACATTTTACTTTTCATTGAACACATTTTACTTAACATTATGCATCATCATTTTTGCTCTCTAATCTTTTCCTAAGTGCACTGACTTGCTGATAAGAAACTGCTTGATCTGATCATGGCCCATCTTAACAAGTCGACTCCTACTCTTACGAAGACTTCATCTCGTTCCAGGAAGTAACACTAAACTCGCTGCCTTTGGGTCAACCCCAGGCTCGGAGGCACCCTCCTTTGGTATGTTGGGCTTTGGTGTGCCGAAGACACATTTGTGCTACGACATGTTTGAACGTGTTACCTACTCTCTCTACAGAAGACGTTGATTTTGAATATAACAGACTCCGCCTTATCGACTCCACAATTACTAACAAAGTCACTAAACATTTAAGCAAACAAGCAGTCATCAAACAATACCTAACAACTTAAATAGTCATTGATATAGATTAAACCATGAACAGTTTAACTGCGGCTGCTAATCTACTTTCACAATCTCCGCCAACAACAATCTCCGCCAATATCTAGAGGATCTAGTAAAAGAAATTTACACAACGGACGAGATCAGAGGCAGAATTAAAAAGGACTACGACCAATATCCAAGTTCATCAAGAACAATTGAGAGGTAATATATGTTAATACTTCTGCTGTGTTCTTAGTTCGTCTCGAAACATTGTTACAGAATGTAATATTTGGGCAGAAAAAATACTTACACCATTTTTATGAAATAAATAATTTGAGAACATTTAGCTACAATGAAATATTAAACAGTTTCCTTTAATCGCATGTTTAGAATCTTTAGACTTTAGAGTCATCAAAAATCTTTAAGTTGAAACTTTCAGAATGCTACAGTTTTTTGAGATAAAAAGAACAGACAACAGTTTGTCTGACCAAGAAGTAACCCAAGCCAGATATTGTAGCAGACACAGGTGGAGCCTGGGGCTACAGGCATGTGAGACAAGAATTAAGGTGAGACGAATATCTAAAAATATTCGGTGACGATTCAATAGTAGTAAGCTTCTAAAGAAGTGTTAGTCCGTTCTCAAAGGATCCAACTGTGTTACCGATTTCTGTATTAGGTGCAACAGAGGTATGCTTGTGACACAAGCTAAGGCGATGACGACGTTACGACATGTGGATCGTGCTGGGGTGGAACAGAGAAAACCCAGATTTCTCGGCAAACGACCTAAAATGCCGTTTAGATCTAATGGGCCTAATTACTCCTGGGTAATACTTACTTTCTACCACTGCACAGTAGATACAGGAAGGAACGGTTTATCATGATTGGATTAGCAGAATTAGCCACCCAGCAGAGATGGGACCGTTTTTGGAGACCCCACTTAGATGAGGCTCATTCATAAATATGTGCACGTTTAAAAAACAGTATGACGAAAATGCTTTGTAAAAGTATAAACTTTGTAATCTAATTGGAACTCATCTGAGCGTCAAATACCTAGACAGTAAAAGATCAGATTGAATCGATAGGAGCTAGAGAAATCCCTGAGACCAAGAATAAACGAGGACTAACAGTATCCGCACATTATTGGATCTTGCTGTACATCGAGAAAAGCTTTTAAAGGGGGTGCGAACCTCAGAACAAGCAAGGTTATTTTGATATAACGCTCTATGATATAATATGATAGTAACGTTACGGTGACTCAATAGGTGAAACAATTAGCTCTCTAGATTACCAGAACAATGAGAGATTACCTCAGTTGTATTAGTTATCTTGTCTGAATCTATATATTGATGATATTGTGTACATTTAACTTTTATTATTACTTTAAATCTTAAAACAAACTTGTATAATGGCTCTACATGAAATTAAGGAAGAAAGTTGAATAAAATTAGGTATAATTGTCGAGATACGGTGTATGTCAAGATACAGTGTGATTACCGGTTATGTTACAGCATCAACTTTCCAAGCTTCAGTCTTCACTGGTCTATGAAGAAGGAGTTCTCTAAGATGGCCCTGTTTGTGAAGTCCTGCAGAGCACTGTCCTGTCAACCAGATCAAACCCCAGAAAGAAAACTTGGTCAAGAGTGTGGTTATCTTAGAATCAGAAACTGCCGAACAAAAACATATCATACACGCCGGACATTAAGGGGAGATACACCAAAACCGTTTTTGCTCCGAACATCGATTTTATTTTATATTATTTTTAAATAGACAAAAAGAATAAGATTGTACACCTTCAAAAATTTAAAAAAATATTCCCTCATCGAGAAAAAAAATATTTTTCTTTTTCGAAAATTTTTAAAATTTGGAGAAGTCTCTCACTGTAATACCGATAGTTCGGCCATTTAAAAAGTTTTTTGGCTGATTTTTTTACTGAACATTACTTACACTCCGTACTAGAAGCCATTGAAAGGATTATATAGTTGAACAATAAATGACCAAGTTACAGACCGAACAAGGTGAAAAAATAAAAATTGGGATTTTTGCCTACCACCAAAGTTGTACATTTCACCACCCGCCCAGGTCATCAGATATCGCTTCAAAAATTCTTGTGAGTGTAGTTGATGATCATGGCAAGCTTTTTGGAACCGGATTTCTCTCAATTTTGAGTTTTAAGCTATGCAATGTGGCCTCAAACGACTTAGTAAAATTCATCGTAAAAAAGGGCAAAAAAAGGCAGATTTAAGGCTTAAAATGCCTATAACTCAAAAAGTATCAGTTTTTTTGAAATAATTTTTACAGGATCGTAATCAGCTTGGTAAGACGAATCTTTCAGTACGACATTTATAATATTCAAAGCCACAAAATTTGTAAAAAAATGTGTACAATTTGTACAAAATTTATACAAGGGGGGACCCTTGTGTTCGAGCTAGAAAATTATTTAAGACAATTTGTCTTCTAAAAGCACCTATTTGGTACTAAAAGATTCGT